ATAGCATGTGATCAAATCTATACTTGACAGTGTTCAAGGTAGTCTTGTCATTATACTATCTGTATATTTGTGTATGTATGGTCTCATATTTGTAATCTAGTTGATTAATTTTCTTGAATTATTAGATCGCAGCAGCTTATCATCATTTACCGGGGCGGTGCGATAGCCTAGTTGTTAAAGTGTTTGTTCATCACACCGAAGACCCGGGTTCGATTCCCCACATGGGTACAATGTGTGAAGCCCACCATGATATTGCTGGTAATTGTTTAAAGCGGCGTAAAACCCAATTCCCTCAATCACTCACTATTACCATTTACAGCAACCCCCATCAGATTAACACTGTTGATAACTACAAATGAACCTTACTTGACAGAAAATGAATATATACATCATAAATGCTATATTTTTATATAATAAGTCCCATTTCCTTCATCTTGTTTGACTACTGCGTCTCAGTATATTGTTGTCATGACCACAAGAACATGAGAAACCACAAAAAAGTTTCTTTCATCAAACTGATGTGATGTGTAAAAAGTATAAAGTATTAAAATAATGCATAGATAAGCAGGAGACAAATGAAGTTGTAAGTCATCATATCTATGATGTTATTGCAAACTCATATTTTCTTTAAAGAAACATATTGAAAAAGCAATTTTTCCCAAAACATGTACACAGGAATGAATGGTGACCCATGTGTTTAAGGGAATATTATGCATTAGAAAATATGATAGCTTTCTTCTGTGTTTTTTTTGTAGTTCTTTCTCTTGTGTCTGTGTGTGTCTGTGTTAATAATGGTGTGGTGGGGTAGCTTCCGCTCATCATGCCGAAGACATGGGTTCGATTCCCCACATAGGTACAATGTGTAAAGCCCATTTCTGGTGTCCACTACCGTGAAATTGCGGGAATATTGCCAAAAGCGGCGTAAAACTAAACTCACTCACTGTGTTAATATTAGATGGGAGGCTTGTGTTCTTGGACACCTACATCCAAGATATTCCAAGTAACTTGTACAGTAGGTGCATAAAATACTGTGACCTAAGAATAGTGTTGTGATGCACGTTCAATGTAATTTATCTGTGTGTTAGCTGCACCTAGTGTGTCTAGCACTGTATCCCGGCAAGTCATGTTGATCATTAAATCAATCTAAGGATGTATAGAAGGCTATAAGGTGTCACTGACGGAGGCAGGATCTGAGGAGGCATGGTTCTGTGATCTGTGAAGATGTCACAGACAACATTGGTAGAACACAGAGATAGCTATAATGGATATGGTATGTGATAATACGTTCTCATGGGATTTCGGGATGAGGAAAGTTTTTCACTACCTTGTCTTTTCCCCAGTGAGTACGTCTTGGTAACAGGGACTTGGGAGAGTATAGGGAGTGGGTGTAAGGAAGAATCCATGGTATAGGAAGTGGGTGTCAGGAGAAATCCATGGTATAGGGAGTGGGTGTCAGGAGAAATCCATGGTACAGGAGAAATCCATGGTACAGGGAGTGGGTGTCAGGAGAAATCCATGGTACAGGGAGTGGGTGTCAGGAGAAATCCATGGTATAAGGAGGTATAGTGGGTGTCAGGAGAAATCCATGGTACAGGAAGCGGGTGTCAGGAGAAATCCATGGTATAGGGAGTGGGTGTCAGGAGAAATCCATGGTTCAGGGAGTGGGTGTCAGGAGAAATCCATGGTATAGGAAGCGGGTGTCAGGAGAAATCCATGGTACAGGTGGGTGTCAGGAGAAATCCATGGTACAGGAAGCGGGTGTCAGGAGGAATCCATGGTATAGGGAGTGGGTGTCAGGAGAAATCCATGGTATAGGGAGTGGGTGTCAGGAGAAATCCATGGTATAGGGAGCAGGTATCAGGAGAAATCCATGGTATAGGGAGCAGGTGTCAGGAGAAATCCATGGTATAGGGAATGGGTGTCAGGAGAAATCCATGGTACAGGGAGTGGGTGTCAGGAGAAATCCATGGTATAGGAATGGGTGTCAGGAGAAATCCATGGTATAGGGAATGGGTGTCAGGAGAAATCCATGGTACAGGGAGTGGGTGTCAGGAGAAATTCCATGGTATAGGGAGGGTGTCAGGAGAAATCCATGGTACAGGGAGTGGGTGTCAGGAGAAATCCATGGTATAGGGAGTGGGTGTCAGGAGAAATCCATGGTATAGGAATGGGTGTCAGGAGAAATCCATGGTATAGGGAGTGGGTGTCAGGAGAAATCCATGGTATAGGGAGTGGGTGTCAGGAGAAATCCATGGTACAGGGAGTGGGTGTCAGGAGAAATCCATGGTATAGGGAGTGGGTGTCAGGAGAAATCCATGGTATAGGGAGCAGGTGTCAGGAGAAATCCATCCATGTATAGGGGAATGGTATCAGGGGTGTCAGGAGAAATCCATGGTACAGGGAGGGGGTGTCAGGAGAAATCCATGGTATAGGGAGAATGGGTGTCAGGAGAAATCCATGGTATAGGGAGTGGGTGTCAGGAGAAATCCATGGTATAGGGAGCAGGTATCAGGAGAAATCCATTGTATAGGGAATGGGTGTCAGGAGAAATCCATTGTACAGGGAGTGGGTGTCAGGAGAAATCCATGGTACAGGGAGCGGGTGTCAGGAGAAATCCATGGTATAGGGAGTGGGTGTCAGGAGAAATCCATGGTGTATAGGGAATGGGTGTCAGGAGAAATCCATTGTACAGGGAGCGGGTGTCAGGAGGAATCCATGGTATAGGGAGCGGGTGTCAGGAGGAATCCATGGTACAGGGAGCGGGTGTCAGGAGAAATCCATGGTACAGGGAGCGGGTGTCAGGAGAAATCCATGGTATAGGGAGCAGGTGTCAGGAGAAATCCATGGTACAAGGAGCAGGTGTCTGTGATGAAGATTCCATGGTACAGGAAGTGTGTGCAAACAAGGAAGAATGATTCTACCTCCTGCATATTGCAGTGACATGGTTGATCTCTTGATCAATCATTGTCTGAAATGCACTCAATGACTTCACAGGTCAAAATGAAATTGCTTTGAAATCCCTTTTTAACACTAACCACAACTCTTTTAATCATTTCCCATATGACATAACAGTCTTATAGGATATTGATCATTATGTTGAAAAAATGCTTTAATGAGTTGTATTTTCCAGTACATTTAAACATGTAGTGATGGGGAAAATGACATATCTCAGCACTCATTCAGGGGCACATGTGGCCTTGTTGTCTAAGGCGCCGCAATTCCTTGTGCAGAGTTGAATGTATGTGAAATGCCAGAAACCTACGATGATGGGTCCAGTACCATACCTGTGCTCAGGAGTTTCTTACAAGTGATAAATGTCTAAGACTGGCATTACTTAGATACACATGCCATGACATACTTTGGAAGTAGCATAGAACAAACACTCACTCACTCACTCACTCACTCACTCAACTCATAGACTTTCTTCACCATTTGTTGTTGTCGGTCTAGATGTCATAGTCAGGTAGTCTTGTTACGGTTTGGTCTGAATGTCACTCCAATCTTCTGTACAATTTGTTATCATCTGTCTACATGTCACAACAACATAATTTACTGTATATTGTTGTGGGATACATCTCTGTAATTTACTGAATGAAAAAAAAGATTGGATCCTTGTCCCCAAAGTGGAGGTAACTCCTGAAGTGTCCCAAGGGCCGGGGAATCTCATTCAAGCGACAAACCGAATTCTTGAGTTTGATTTAATTTCCCACCTGTGTGGTGTACATTCAACACGCCTAATAGAGGATTTAATTGCTGTCTACCTTTCCATGGGACATGACATTTAAACTGCGTCCCTTACGACCGTCTTGATACTTTCATGTGATTGGATTTGTTGGAGGCGTTCAATAAGATGAAAGAATCACCCCATTTCACAATTTTCAGAGTCTGGCATTTTGGTCTTGGTTTCTTCATAGTGATTAATGTCTTGTTTAATTAATGACTATAAATACCATTTGTTTTGTGAGTGGTCAGAGGCTACTGTCGTTTTAATTCCAACCAATTAGGTAGGTGATCGGTCAAGTGACTGTGATTTCAGGTGGCTATGGGTCAGATTTCACTTCAATTACCTTCTCCTGTTTCTCTCCTCTTCTGTCTAGGAGGTACAATGTATTCTATGCCTTGTTTTGAATGAAAACAAAGCAGCACATCCTTCGCAGGATATCTGTGATGTGTCACGCGGCGGACGGCTAATCAGCTGTGTTGTGTTGCAGGTCCAACACTGAAGGGAATCTCTTCCTCACAAATTAAATGGAAATTAATTCAGTTTATGTCCGTAGTCTTGAGGGTATAAAATCATTTTAGGTATCTTTCTTTATTCCAGAAATGGTAATAGTATTATTAAGTTTGTAACAGAAGAAATAGATATGTGGAAGGATAGTTTATGTTTCATTTCACGTGGAGACTTAACAGGTTTAGTTTGGTCCAGTTTGTTGTTCATGGCGACATATAAATATCGATTTTCATCGATAATCATAAAGTACAGTCCGAGATGTGCAATAACTTGTTAACAGATATTTAGTAGATGTTTGATATATCACCAAAACACATGTATTACAGAGACTTTAAGTAGATAAACAACTTGAGTCATGATTCATAATTTTATCAAGAAGCTGACCTGAGTGCAGTTAAAATAGCAGCTTTTCTTGATAAAAATTAATTTGAAATTTCAAAGCATAAAAAAAGTATTTACACATTTTTGTAAAACATACCCAGTGATGCTAACCTTTAGTCTTTCAACCACTGCGAAAAATAGTATTAATGCCATGTGTATGATGTTAGTGTGTGTAGAATAGGAGATTGATAGGGTAGCCACGGGGTTGAAGTGATAACTATTGCCACTATGAAGGTCTGGGTTTGATTCCTTACATTTTAAAAACGTTGATAGATTGGTAAAAGCAGAGTAGTTTCATCAGGAGAGATGGGTGTATTAATGTAACTATGTATATATAATGATGTATGTTACAATGATTGTACTGATGTTGATGTTGATGTTGTTTCAGATCTGTGTGTGATGAGTGCCACACCAAGAGAACCAGCCTTCCTGCCGACCCCTCGCAACATCACCGTCATGGTGGGACAACTTGCAAAACTGCCCTGTCGGATTGAAAACCTGGGATCTAAAGACGTAAGTCCTTTGCCTTATCTAATACAGGGATTTCACAAATAGTACACACATCTCATATACCGGAGTGCATGTGTGTCATGGCAAGGTGACCGCCTCCGTGGTGTAGTGGTTAGAGCGTCCGCCCGGAGAGCGGAAGGTCTCGGGTTCGATCCCCGACCGCGTCATACCAAAAGACGTTAAAATATGGTACTTGTTGGTCCCTGCCTGGCTCTGCATTAATGGGTACAACAAGGACTGGTCAGTATAGTCAGTATAATGTGTCTGAGTGGGGTATTCATGCTTCACTGCGGTATGGTATCTCAGTGGGCTAGCACTATAAAACCAGCTTAAGTCTGGGCTAGTACAAGCAGCCGCACATACACACACACACACGCATGCACGTCGTAAAACCCAATTTCACCTCACCTCACCTCATGGCAAGGTATCCATCCAATGATAACCTACATCATGGAAACCTATTTCTTTACAAACCAGATGAGATGTTGACATTTGAAAAGTAGGCAATTAACTGTTTTTAGTTGTTTTACAGAATGTTTTTCTTTACTATGTTTGTTCAAAACAAAACCACAAAAAATTGCCCACACTCACAAGTTGCATAAATGTCACAGTTTCTTTGGAAGTTTTTTTTTTGAGTTTTGACTGTGCAATCTGATACGTCATGTTGAAAGGTCACACAGCTTTGTTATATTGCATCAAACTTTGTGGTAAACACTTCTGTGTGTATTTTGTATTTCAGAATGAATCTTCTTTTCAAAACAAACTGGTTTGAGAGATATTTCCTGTAAAATAAATTTTGTCGATTCAGCAATAATACCATGAGAATCAGTGGCTGTGAAATGTACAAGTAAAGTCTTTTTATATTGCTGTGTTTTATGTTGTTTGACCTGTTAAAACCCCCCAAAAGATTAATCGAGTTTCTTTATGAATATACTGATATAATACAATGTAACTGATCATGAAAAACTGTCACCAGTGGTATTAAAACAAGCTCTCTCTCCCAGTGAGTGAGTGACTGAATTTGGCTTTACGCAGCTTTTAGCAATATTCCAGCAATATCATGACAGGGGACACCAGAAATTGGCTTCACACATTGTACCCATATGGGGAATCAAACCCAGGTCTTTGTCATGATGAGCGAACACTTTAACCACTAGGCTACCCCACCGCCCCCACACCCATAAAAAGCGATTTGCTTGAAATTTGAATTTTTAGTGGAATGGGATTTGGATTTCACTACAAAGGGGGTCTATTCTAAACATGTCATTGTTAAAAAATGATCACAAAGTAGTCCTTGTGTATTGGTAAAGAAAGTTGGAATTGTGCAACAGTGAATGTGAAGATCTGTGAAATATAGTACAGTAGGACTGCAACACAAACACAACCAACTTGAACAGTTGAAGTCACATTATCATTACAGATGACATGGTTCATGCATGCTAGAACAGGTTTCACGCGAATATGTACATCCTTCACAAAGAGCATTATCTCATATTGATTATACCAGAAATATGAGGCGCTAGTCACAAAACATCATATCTTGTTACCAGTTTTGTGACACAGTATCCTTTACTAACAAATGACAGGTGGCTTGTTATGGTCTCACTGGATGCTGCATATGCTTTGACAGTGTGTTTCCCCCAGGCTAAAACTCCGACTCAGCTGATGTTAGCCAACACTGTCCCCACTGCCCTAGGCATTCCACTTCTCTGACCACTAGAGAGTTGATAGGAGCATGTAGAAGGTGACCCCTGCTTCACACACAATACAACATGTGCTCTAGCTGGTCTGTGTTCCCTATTAATGGTAAGGAGATAGGCCCTTATTCTGAAAGCCTTAGGGCTTGCTTCAGGGAGGGATACACTCACATGTTAGCAGATGGTGTTAGAGAAAGGATAGCCTACTTAATTTGTTTGAGCGTTGTTGGAATTAGGATTTAATGATGTAGCAGTATTGTTCATTAGCATCCGTTATGGTTTTCTGGTTGCTGGGGAGTTTGAAGTTCCTGGTGAAGTGGTCATATTGATGATGTTTGAACTGTATGTGTCCCCAACTTACCTATCAGTGGTCTTAGCATGAACTAAATAATTGTAAGATGTTTCACCATGTTCTCAACATAGTAGCCTTGCTCCAAGTCTGTACTGAAGGCTAAGCCCACGGATGTATAGTAATTCTATCTTTTAAGACTGACTGACTGACTGAGTTTAGTTTTACGCCGCTTTTAGCAATATTCCAGCAACATCACGGCGGGGGACACCAGAAATGGGCTTCACACATTGTACCCATGTGGGGATTCGAACCCGGGTCTTCGTCGTGACGAGCCAACGCTTTAACCTTTAGGCTACCCCACCGTCCCTATCTATCCTTTAAGAGGCAAGTCTAGATAGGTGGACAGTAGTTCATAGCCAGTCTGTTAGAGGGATATTTATATTTTGTAGAAATTATCATTTAAATTATTAATTATGACTTTAGAGTCTTGTGCAAGTCTATCAACATAGCAGTCATTGGAGTATTTACATCAAGTTTATATGGTACACCTTTGTGGACTTAGACCCACATGTGTGTTGAGTGAAAGCACTAACCACTGGCCCATCTTCAGTAATATTGATAGAAGTTATAATATTGGGGATTTTAGTGCCTAGGAGCATCGACTATGAACTCCCCACCCAATTAAACTCAATTTAGCCTGCTTCGTTTATGTCGCCGCTGCTTGCTAGCAGGTGTTGTCTCGTTGTCTCGCAGGAGACACCGCTTCCTGTGCTGGCCGAATGTAGAGTGATGTCTTTTAAAAAAGTGAGAACAGTAGGATCTTGATCCACTCAAAGCAAGTAGACTGAGAACCACTTTGTGACTTGTCTGTCGCGACTAATTAATTTCACTCCATTAAACATCCCTACCATTTAGATGTCAAATGGAAGCTCTCTTTAGAAGAGAAGCCATTTAATGAACAACTAAAACATATCCAAATTTCAACACTTTTCTCCTCCCTCCAGACTGAGCCATAACCACTTTGAACTCGGAAACTCTCTCAGAGATTGTAATAGAAAAGAGAAGTTCTTTTAAAGAATAAGAGTTCTTCTCAAAAGCTGTAAATTATTCACAATCATGCTTGGGTTTTATGCCTGCGCCACTTTATTGCTAGATGCCACGAAGTGTTGCTAATTTTGTGAAATTCTGTTTCTATTGGGCATTTGCAATGGCTACTTTGATGTGGAATTGAAATTGAACTGGAATATGAAACGACAGACAACCCAAATATAATGATGACATAAAAGTCAAGACAGTCAGTCCAAGACTCAAGTGTGGCTCGCAATGTTTTCAAACCTCTTACCAATTAGCTCAAAATTTAAATTTTGTAATTTTGTAGGCTTTGTATGTAGCTGTTAGCACGCTGATGTAATGATCAGTTGACAGTATCATGTGCAGGTGATTTAGCTGCACGAGGCATCTAGCTCATTCCTCAGCAATAAAAGAATCTTGTTGAACACCCTCCCAATCATTAGAACACTAGGAGTGTTCTCTGGAGGCAAACTGATAAAATTTGCAGCAATTCAAAAATATCATGACGTCAAAAAAAGTAAAGAATATTTGATAGATGTTAAAATTTAGTTATCAAACTCAAGATGGGATTCGGTGCCATTTGCCATGTTTGCGATAAAATTACAAAAAATTCAGTCAAGTTTGGCATCTTCATTACCATATTATGAACAGTTCCAGTTATAAGTTGCATGTTTTGTGAGTAGTGTCATGCCCTTGCCTATTTTCATAAGAAATCCTTATGTAATGTGCCAAGCTTGTAAGTACATTAGGTATCATGAACAGTTGATTTCTAGAGAAACATATGAAAACAACATCTTGCCAGGAGAGGTCGCAGACCAGGAAGAACAATGTGTAATCAGTAGGGGATTTGTGCCACAGATGCGTAATCCGATTTAGTTTATTTTCTATGTCTTCATTACAAATGCTTCTTTTCAAGGAATTACCATTCCGCTGAACTAAAAGAAAAGGTTTTAATAATTACCAAACATCATTGTTTCTTTTCTATCGTTATTCTCGAATTTAGCATGGCTAAATATCGGATCTATTTCTGCTTGTGATGGCCCTGTGTTTGATTTAGAGGAGATGTCATGATAAATTTTCCTAAACCTTCTTGATCCTCTCTAAAGTGCTATTGTGGATTTCAACAAACCACAATACACTCACAGAAATGGAACCAAGCACTCTGAGTGGGTTCTATTTCGGTCAGGTCTTCTTGTCAAGGGGCCCAGCAAGTAGTAAACTATGTTGCTTGATCAAATACTTCGGCAGGGCTAATCCAATCACCTGCCCAGTACCGAACAGTTACATCAGCTCAAACCAATGCGTTTCTAAAAATTAACTCGTGAAGGTCAGAGCTGTTTCACAAAGCGACTGTAAGTCTCAAAAGACAGCGTAGGTCTATTGAATTGCATTGTGTTGCTGGAGATAAGTTTGTAGCGACTTTGTACGACATTAACCACGTCTACAATGTGTAACATTTTCAATTGTGTATAATCGTCTCCACACCACTTAGCTTGTATGAATCACTCTCAAGTAACCCTATATACCAGGCACTTGGAAGAGTTCAGTCAGCAGTTAAGGGCCATTCAGTCGATCATCAAAGACAATTATGGGAGCAAATTAATTGTGGTGGGGGGAATATGAGCAAGTTTCTACCCTAGTCATGTCTGTCCACTGGTGGTGGGCATACATGCAAACACTGCGGCATGTCACCAGCAAGGAATTGTGTCCCGAAATCAAACTTGAGTGGACAGGGAAGGGGATGGTGGGAGGGAAATTATCCACTGAGAGTAAACACTTATTGTTGATATTCATTGGTGGCTGACTTGAAGCTGCTTGAGAGCAGACGGTCAATCTGTCAGACTGTCCATCTGTGGACTTGGGTTGGACATCAAGCTGTTCTGTCCTATTGTCTGTTTATGAATGTTAAAGAGCTGATGAATGTCCAGACTGACACTTTGTCC